GTGTGTTCACGTATGTATGCGTGTATGTATGTGTGTTTTTGTCTGTCCGGGTATTTTAACTTGGCAACCAAGGCAAGCGTCGGCATGGAAGTTTGCCAGTAGATTCCTCGGTTAATTATCACGCCAAAATTTCACGCATGTCAGCTCCGTGTACGAGCACATGAAAGTTTTGGCGGAAAAACTGCTAACTCGGGAACCAAGGAAGCTGGAGGGCTAAAATTATAAACGGATGTTCCACGTTAAAGTACAATGTGAAGAACTCAAATTTAGCCTCCATTTATGCGTAGTTCTCACGAACGGGTACGTGAAAGTTTTGGCGAGCAAACAGCTAGCTCGGAAACCAAAAAAGCTGGTGGTTGAAGTTTTAAGGAAGCCGTGGGAAAAGGGTTTTTCGAGAATGCAAGATTTTACTTCAGTAATGTTGGTACCGGCATTATCGGTCTGGTACTGATATACTTTAACACTTTGATCAGGCGCTGTTCTACCACAGCGAACCTTAGTGATAGTAGTGCAGCTGACAACTTTTTCATGATTCCTTTCACTAAGCCTACTTGACCGAATGCTCAGCTTACTGGTTCTCCACTTTCCTTAGACGCCTTGTTTTTTGAAATACAGTCATAGCCAAAGGAAATTATTTGCAATGTAAAAGCCAAAGATTGTTGAAAACTTTTGTAATTTAATCATAATCAATCTTTTTACTTCAGAAATGGTACCTATTTTAGAAAATAGTACATTTTGATCTAAAAGGAGCGCCACCTAAATTGGATTATTACAAAGTGTTGTTTGGACTACTAAATGCCTTAAAAGTGGATGCAGTATTGATGGAATACGAGGACATGTTCCCATACGCCAATGAACTGGGTCTGTTGAGGAGACACAACAGCTATTCAGTTACCGAATTGCAATCCATTTTACAGGTTAAATTCTGGAGCAAAGTCCAGTTGCTTGCGTTAAAAGAGATAGTGGATATGGCGATACGACGTAGATATCAAAATTTGTGAAAGTGAAATAAAAAAGGTTTTCGAGTAAAGGGTGCATGAGGATTAAGCAAAACCACTAAAGGCAATCAGTTTATTATACTATTTGTTTTAAAGCGATGTCACGGATACCTGCTAAACTGATCTAAAATGAGAAAAGAGTTCTTAGTTTTTGAGGGCAGCGCCAAACAACTGCAGGGCCAACGATTAGATTGGTAACATAGGGCCAGCGGTATGGTGTATAGCATGCCACGGTTTGAAGGATCCGGAAATAGTGGAAGTGAGAGGTTTGATTCGTCCCGGTTTATAAAATCTTCAACAAAAGTTTCTCCTCTTACGATAATTAGTACTGTGAAAAAAGTTTGGCCAAACGAATGTAACGATGAGATAAGTGAAGGACAGTTTTAGGACTAAGGCTGATGATGGTGACGTGGTTTTGAGAAATTTTTGTTATTTCTCCTTTTTGTAGCTGGCGTCCGATAACAACTTAGAGGTGATTCCACTTGTGCAGACTTTTGGACACTTGGAGTTTGTATTAAAGCATCAGAAATATGCGTCACTGCGTGAGGATCCAATGAAATCAGATACAGTGTGTCCATCAGATAACAGCTCTTGGAATTTGATTACGGAAATGCTAAAGCAGGTAGATGATGAATTGAATAACACACAGTTGCAAAATAGGAGTCAGCGTCTCCTTTTGACATGAGTAAACCCAAAGAGAGAGAGAGTGAAAGTGGTACTCGGAAGTAGTTCTAGTACTTCGAGAGATATTACCTTGCCGAAGGCAGTTATATTTGGATACGGATTACGTGTGATTTTCTGTTCTGAGGTTGTCTAAGAGCAAGCGGAAGACCGTTTGATTATTGGCAAGCAAAATAAACCAGTACTGTTTTTAACATTCGAAACAATTCAAGTTTTTAGCAGGCGGACTATTCCCTCTTTCTGGCAAAATTTCGAGTAAGAGGCTAGATACTGATTACTAGAAAATCAAATTCATCACTGGCTGTAATTTTTTATTCGAAAGATATTTTTTTCAATTTAATTAAAGGCAAGCAATGAGATTACTTTGCAAATGTCGTTGTTCATCCATGCAGCGAGTTAAAATAACACTAAAATTCCTGCAGTTTTTTGAATCACTATCACAGTTGAGCTTGAGTAATATCGCTAATGCGTTATTCTCCATCGACTGTGTGGGCCACTTTGGGTTTTTCTCATTGTTTTGTACATTCGTCATTTACAGGTGCGTGCGTTGCATCCTGATGCAAAAAGGTTGCACATAGGAGCTGATGAGGCTTACTCAAT